GCCAATAATAATAACTTTATTTATATCCCGCTACCATTTCCCCAAAGGACCACGAGGAAGGCGTGTCAAGCAAACCCTTGTAGAGACTGCCTTCAATCTGGAAATGAATGTCATCACTGTAAAAGACCATGCAGATCCAAAATAGATCTCTACACTCACTTACAGATTCACCACCAAGATTCTACTTCTGGAAGACAATCATACTTGGCCACGAGTGATCGCCTATGATATAGTATGATGGTTATGTTGGGTGGAACTTTTTTCTTTACTCTACATAGAGTGAATGGCCTCTTAATTTGTTTGGTAATTTATTATTTGTATATTAACACAATACCACAAGGCCAGGTTATATTAATGAACAAATTCAATCATGCATAATGTCGGTGCTGCAGTCTTTATGAAAATAGTCTGCAATTCTGTCTTAGCCCCAGTGAGGTATTAATGCTGTATCTCAAGACGTCATTTGTTTCAGGAAATCCATTGAGTATTAAATAACACACTTTAAGTGGAAAAACATTATGTCGAAATGTACACTCAGAAACCCAATGCTATTTAACACTATATTTTTTGCTTTGGGACCTGTGTTGTGTTGGAGCAGATGTTTAACCACAACTGTGACACTGCTATTTTTTTCCAGTTAGAAGCAATAAAATGAAGGGTCAACTCAAATTACTCACAGATTTTCACAACTATTTTTTGACATTGCTGAAAAAAGTTTCACTTTGGAGACAACTTTTATCACTTCTTAACAAATGATTGCCTATTCATTCCGATCATTGGAAGAAATCAATTGGCCTGCCAGATGTTGCTGAACTTTAAGTCTCAGCAGCTTTAACCAATTGTGAAGAAAGCTAAGAATTGGATCCCAACAATATTATGAATGGTTGGTCACATTATTCCCACCTATAATTAAGATAGTACTGTCTCTCGCTCTTAAATGATTACAACTGTTACCACAACATCCAACTCATTATGTTGACCCTGACTGATTGGTTATCCCCAACATTACTTGTACCAGAAGCATGGAGGGAGTGAATGCATCACCACAAATATTCTGATATAGTTCTAGTTCAGGTTTACTTGCAATAGCCAGTCAATGCAAAAAGTTGTCTTTTACTGACTCAGGCTATTGCTCCATGTAGCTCAACACTGTCTCAGCATTGAGGGTGTATCTACACTGCAGAATTAATGCAGTTTGACATCACTTTAAGTGCCATGGAATCTTGAAATTTGTAGCTCAGTGAGACTAACAAAAGGTTAGGACATTGTAAAACTAAAAGTCATATGATGCCAATAGCATTGAGCCATGGCAGTTAAGGTGGTATCAAACTGCAATAATTCTACAGCAGAGATGCAGCCTGACTCTTTCCCAGATCCATTTGGAAGAAGCTGACAATTAAACATGAATCTTCTGCATGTAAAGCATGTGCTCTGCCATTTTCTTAACTTCAGTAAATGAACCACAAAATCTACAATATTACTTTATTACAAAAAAAGAGGAAAACAGGAAATTCATATGAATTACAAACTTCTCTTGATCAGGTTACATTATGATGTTCACTGATTTTGAACCTAATAGATTTATGGTGCGCTTCTTCTGATGCAAGGCTGTAATAGTCTCAATGCAGTACACAATGACACATTTTCACTAGAGTTTGTTCCCTATGGTATTTTACATATATTTATTAAATCCCCCCTTTTTTGTTCCCAGGAGTCTCCTATTTTTCACATTCCCTTTGGGCTCTTGAGTGCTTTTGACAGGCTCATTATTTTTCTCTATTCTCCAAGGGCTGAATTCATGACACTGAAGGGGAAAATTTCACCACCTGCAACTCAATATATGTTGAAGGAACACATCCAAAACCTCACAACATTCAAAGTATAACTGCTAGTGACATACACAGCTCCCTCTTGGTTATGATCTCTCAATAATTTAGTTTGCAGGTATAATTCCCTTCCTTTCCACAAGTTAGAGAGAAATTATACAAGGAAAATGGATACTTAATCAAGGGAGGTATACAACATGACCTTAGAAACTGTTTAGTTTGCACATTATATTCTGTAAAAGAAACCACCAATGAGGCAATCTCATATGGAGAGTTTCAGTATGAATGCTGATTCCAGATTTACAGCCATAACCAAAAGAAATGTATACATCTGAAGTGCAGGATTACTCTGAGGAATCCTGTTTCTGCCCCAATAACATACTAAGTAAATCTCAGTTTGATAGCTTTTAGTTATGCTTTTATAACCTTCATTACCATTGGGGGGGGGGGGGGGGGGGTGTTTACTTTTCTACAGTAATGATCATAGCTACAGCCATTGATGGAACAATAAGTTCAATTAATACATTGCACATCTGAATTAATAGAAATGACACCCCCACTGATTATGTTTTTAAAAAACCAGTTCTTCCTGTACAATGCAGATATCCTTTGAGGAAAAGTGAAAAGTGGAGGGTTTCTCTTCAAAGAATAAGCTACATTACTAAGAATCAGGAATGATGTCTCCAGATGCTGTTGGGTTATTTATTTTGTATCAAAAGCATTGCATAAATTAGTATAAAGCCGATAAAAATATAAGGAGTGCAGGTGGCTAAATATCTTTTGACCAAAAACGGGCAACAGCAATGGCATTGTCTGTAGCCTCCAATGTACAGAGAAAGAATTGTTGGAGGCTATAGGCAATACCATTGTTGTTGCCTGTTTCTGATTTGAGTCTACTGGGAGGAGGCTGGTAGCCATGTTGTGGGTGGCTTTCACAGTGTTCAACCTTATTTCTCTCACAATTAGCAGCAACTTTCCATCGCACATCGGGGGGGGGGGGGGGTGCCAGCTAGCTTGTAGAGTTTATCAACAGGTGTAGGTTTAAGACATCCTGTGATTATTCTGCATGTTTCATTCAATGCTATGTTCACCTGCTTTGCGTGGGCAGACCTATGCCAAACAGGGCAGGCATACTCGGCAGTTGAGTAAGAAAAGGCTAGGGCTGATGTTCTTACTAATTTTGACACCCCATGTGTTGCCAGTAAGTTTCCACAGGATGTTATTGTGTGCAGGTACTTTGTGCTTGGTGTTTAAGCAGTATTTCCTATATGCTAGTGTTCGATCTAAGGTGACACTGAGATATTTAGGATGGAAATAATGTTCAAGCTCTTGACCTTCCAGGTGACTTTCAATTTCCTGTTGGCTTCACAGTTGCGTAGGTGGAAAGCACACACATGTGTCTTGGCAGAATTAGGCTTCAGCTGGTTATCTTTGTAGTAGCTGGAGAGATCTTTCAAGGCATTAGTAAGTTGGATTTCAATTGTTTCAAAGTATTTTGATTGTGTTGTTAGGCCAAGGTCATCAGCATATATGAAATTCTATGTGAGTGGTGGTTGTGGCTGATCGTTAGTAAAGATATTAATCAAGGTTGGTGCAAGAACGCTGCCTTGGGGTAAACCATGCTGTTGGGTGAAAAACTGTCATGTTGGTGTGAACTGAAAGGGTGTTACACGTGGTTCCCACCTTGATTTAAAAGTATTTTATTTTGTCCTCCAAAATTACTTACTTCATTTGGCTTTTAATTAAACAAATTAACTAATGAGTCAAAACACATTTCAGTAATTGGAATTTATTCAAATTATTGAATGTAATAGATCATTCAATGCAGGAATTTTAACCAATATAAAGAAGTTGAGTAGGAGGTACATGGCACAAGGTGATCCACTGGAATTGCCACCAAATTCCCAAACACTTGATATTTCTCAAAACACTTTTGGCCAGCTTCCTTAAATCTCATTTAGAGGATATTTTGCTAATTATTTAATTATGAGAGGTAAGTAATATGTACTCCCATAAAACATCAGCCCTCCCACAAAACCCCAGACCTTCACCATGCAAAGTCATTTCTGCCCATGCTGCAAGTTGGGAAGTAGCTGCCTGTAATGAAAGGACCAAGGCATTGACACCTCTGGCTCATCCTCTGTTTGGATATCAGCCTGCAAGCCAATGCCTTAAATCAATAAATGACTTCCTAAGATCTACAGAGATACTCACAGGAACACATCAGCAAGTGAGATTCAAAAAGTGGCAGGCTAAAACCCGGAACTTAAATCCATGGCTGATACCAAATGAGACACTCCCTTCTGGGCACGCAGAAGACTAAACGACTTAGAAGGCACTGAACAGACTGCGGTCTGGCACCACAAGATGCAGAGCTAAGCTTAAGAAATGGGCTACAAAGTAGAATTCACAACATACGAGTGTGGAGAAGAGCAAACCACAGATCACTTACTACAATGCAATCTGAGCCCTGCCACATGCACAATGGAGAATCTTCTTACAGCAACACCAGAGGTACTCAAAATGGCCAGCTTCTGGTCAAAGGACATTTAGTATAATGCCAAGTTTTTAAACTTTGTTTGTGGTTTTAATGTATGTTATAAGTGTATTCTCAATTTGCTTCTGACATGATACATAAAAATATATTTCTGTCCATTAAAAATAGTGGCCATTTAGCTCCCAAGAAGAACCCCAAATGGCTCATTGGACCCCAGAGCATGCTCATGTTCAACTAGGTTGGTGAAAAGATAAGACCAGTTTTAATTAAAATAAAATTCCAAGATTTAGACTTCAACAAGTTGGAATCAAACAAAACAAAGGAAATTCATGTTATTTCTGGGTTGCTGTGAATTTTTTGGACTGTATGGCCATGTTCAATCAGCATTCTCTCCATAGAGCGCGAAAAAACTCACAGCAACCCAGTGATTCTGGTCATGAAAGCCTTCGACAATACATCTTAGGTCTCTTCTCATTCTATAGCCATATATTTTGCACAAAGTGGAGGTAACCTCATAGCAGGTCGTTTCTTAAAAAAAACAAGAGCCAAACAAAACAAAACCCAGGAGTTTACTGAAATGCATTAGTTTTCAGACTGAACTAAAATACTCTCCTTCAGGTGTATCTTTTCCACTATGAAGAGAAATGCTCTTTACTACTGCAAAGAAAAGGACTGACCTGTCCAAGCATGTCTGGTGCAATAGGAATCATGCGCCAGATGGTAGAATAGACGCCAAAGAAGACCAGCCAAAGCAGCATGCTTCCCCAAACAGCTAAGTGGCTGAACTGCAGGGAAAAAGAAACAAATGGTCAGGAAACAGTTCGATGTACAGTCTCTCCCTCTGCTCCAAGTTCCACAGTCTTGATTCTCAGGTATTAAGTTATTTCTCTCTGTTCTCTTTCCACCTAAGGCTTTTGCCAGTTTCACTCAGTCCTGTCTAACACACTTGATTTTAAGCCAGTAGTAAGACTGATTAAACTACTCTTCGGTTCAATCCTTTTTCTGTTAGGCAACATTATTGCTTTTTCTCAGTTTCACAGACTTAAACTTATATTTCTCCCACAAAAAGAGAGAACAGATTCTTAGCACTGATTTATGCATCAGGTTTTCAATGGAATTTACCAAACAGTTGGACAACCATTCATCAACAGATTCAGGACTTTATCGCATGAAGGTGAGGACTGTGTGTGAATCCATTACTTATTGCATGATGTCATTGCATTCCAGTTGCTTTTTAGGTTTCCCTCATTATTTAGCCACACCTTTTTATTCCTGTACCTTACCATGCCAACCGGATTCGATGAGGATGATTGAGACGGTTTTAAACAGTAGATTTTAATGTTGAGATAAATGATTTTAATGTTTATGTATGTTTATAGTTTATTTATGTCCCAGCATTGAATGTTTGCCATTTATATGTTGTGCTCTGCCCTGAGTCCCCTTCAGGCTGAGAAGGGTGGAATATATATGCTTTAAATAAATACATACATACATACATACATACATACATACATACGTAATCCAATGCGTGATCCTGATGTGGGATTAGCAACTAGATTTAGCTCCAAATGGGCTTGTGATTATTATTTCAGATATGTGTATGTCAAACTAAATGATTTACTATGTTTACTTTATATTTTATTGCATGTCTCTATAATAAACTACTACAGAAAATTATTTTGCAAATTAATATTAAATATATTAAATTTATATATATACACATATATATACATACACAGATACACACTTAATTAAAAATAAAAGTAAAAATTCCAGAGTGGATAAAATATCACTGTGCAGAAAAAAAATAATAGTACAGACAAAAAAAAGACCAAAACCAAAACCAAAATTGAAGCCATGGTTTTAATCTTGGAAATTTCCACAGTGGAATTCTTTCTATCAGTGTTTATTTGGAAGAAGGTTTTCCTAAGTTCAGATGGACTTAACATGAAAATATGAATAGTATGATGAATTCATAGTTCTGACAAATCAGTTGTGTTGGAAAATCAGTAGGTTTTGCCAGATTACATGATCTGGCATAAAATGTAGTAGCAAATAAGTCTGCCTTGTTTCATAAGAATAAAGTAGTTGTCTTTTCTACATGTCTAGAAACAAGCAAACAATCATGAGCCTTCTTTCTCTTTGTTGAATGACAGCTACTGTGTGATCCATAATTTATTTATTCAAGCCTTTCATTTCCACCTATCATATCTTATCATTCAGCAACAGGAATTCTCACTCTTGAGACTCAACTTCATGTAACCAATCCACCTGATGATGGAGGCAAGATTTAACCAAATTGCACACACTCAAGACTTTTCCACTTCTTGAAGGAGATCTCCTTCAAAGAGTCATCCCCAGCTGAAATAATAAGACTTGTCTGCAGTGAATGAGAGTAGAATGAACTGCAATGTTGTCTTGCTTGCTTTTATACAGAAAATATTTTTATGTATGGTCAACAAAGAAATGCAGCCATGCATAAAAACAGATGTATATAGATTCCCTGAAAATATAGTGCTTTAAAAAAAACTTGAACAGTCTTTGTGACTTCTGACCTCCTGCGTTTTGGTACAGTTCAAGTAGCAAAGGTCAGTAATTAGCACAGGTTCAGTCATGGGAGAAAAGACAGTTAGACTGAGAAACTTTAGAAAAGTCCACATTTAATATGACTTAATTTGCATGATTTTTTTGAAGTCAGAGTAATGTTGTTGAACATTATTAATACAATGTACAATAGTGGGAGAAACTTGTGATGAATTCCCTACCTTTCTAGGCCAGGGAAAGCCCAGGAAGTAAGCCCAGGAAGTAAGCCCAGGAAGTAAGCCCAGGAAGTTCAGCAGCCATTTTAAGGAGATGGTGCGAGGAGACAGCCATCTTAGAGCACGCAATTTCTAGAGGGGGTGGAGCTTAGGAGCAGCCTAGAGGGAATGTGGGAAGTTGTATAATTGGCTGAGAGAGAGTGGGCAGAGCTTAGCTGGAGGGAAGAGAAAAAAAGCCTTGAAGTAGGCGTGTTTTAAAATCTGACAGCTCAATTGGGAGTTAAGAGTAAGAGTTTGATGATTGATGAGTCAGGGACTAGTGTCTGAAGAGTTAGGTTTTGAGAGTGTTTGAAGAAGAAGAGTTAGTGAAGCCAGGAGTTGGTCAGTTAGTATAGATAGATAGCTATTAGGGAGAATAGTTAGTCTAGGGAATAGACAGATCCAAAGAAAATGACTGTCTGGAGTTTAAAGAAGTCTAGTCAGTGGGAAGTCTGCTAGATTCTTGTGAGGGAATGGAGAGTAGTTTTGAAACTAAGCCTTGAACTGTTCTTTGAAGTAACCACACGTTTTTACTCATTTATACAACCATTAAGATTAAGTGCCTGTTTTGCCAAAGTTCTCACAAATAAACAACTTTGTTATTTGTTAAATAACAACTGTCTCAAGAGTGCCTCTATGCGACACAGTTACATAGCAGTATAGGAAAACAGAGTTGTAAGAAATGGTGGCAGCATTTATTTAAAAAGAATCTCATTGTTTTACCTCAGAGTACAGAGCCCCGAGTGCGAATCCAGCACAACACAGCTTACTAAAAACCTCTTGCCAAACCAGAAGCTTAATATTCCTTAAAGTGTGGTGGTTGCCAGTGATCACAAAACTTTACCTCAGAAAATAGCGTGTGGTGGCAAAGCCTCAGCAGCCCCAAACACTTAATTGATTTTTTAAAATAATCTTTTACATTTGGTGGTTCAGCATTGGGATTGTTAGAAATAAATCCCATTCTCTTTACATTTTGGTGGCATACTGGTGGGATCGCATTATATATTTTTGGTTGGCAGCATTTGGGATTGTATAAACATTCCTTACAATTGGTGGATCAGCGGTGGGATAGTTTAACACCCCAACATCCTTTACAAAACTCTTTTAACTCTTCTTGATATTTTTGTGATTCAGTTATGCCACATAGAAAGTATTACCCACTTACTCTCCTCTCCCCAAATTCAACAAAATACAGATAAAAATAAATCCCACCACCTGGTTTGATACCTCAATTAGTAAAGTTTACTACTTTATCCATAAATGTCTATTCCATCAGCCAGTACATATCTATATAATTGTAGACAGACAGAAGTGGATACACAGATAGTTCAGAAATATAGGTGGTTGCTTTCTAAGTTTCTATTGAGTCAAATTGACCCTCAAGCCTTTTGCCTGTCATCTACAGTTCAACCAAAGATCAACACAACATATTGTAGTTCTTTGTGTTTTGTGTGTGCAGGAGTGACACCCCTCCCGCCAGCAGAACCAAAGATGACTCACACACTGAGTTGGGAAGAAAAATGGCCACAACTTGTTTATTGATAACAGGAACACGGGTTGGCCACCATGCATGGGTCCTGGATCATGATCGGGCCGCCTGCTGCTGACCGATACCGCCATACACACCAGGATGCTGCCGGCACAATACTGGTTTAACCCTAACTCGGCACCCCTGGTAACCACCGGATGTTCTCCCCCTTCTGCTAGGAGGGAATTAAAACCAGATACAGGGCCTATGCCACTCACCAATCAAACGTTGTGACAAGCTAACAATAGCTGAACACATACCAAGCATGCATGGCAGGTGGGATGGATCAGCTGAAGCAGGAACAGTGCCTGCACCAACTTTTAAAAGGCTGCCAGACAAGGAGGGAAGCTGGCTCCAGCCAATGTGGGGACGGGGCAATGCCTGCTGCTGCTTGGCTAGTCGGCCAGGTGGCAGGAAACTTTTCCACCACACAGGGGGCTTCTGGGAAGAAGAAACCCCCTGCATGCTCTATGGCCAGTGGAAAAGTGCCCACCATTGCTACAGCCCTTGCCCGGTAAGTTGGGCAAGGCATTTATCCAAGTTCTAATCTGGCCCAAACCTTAATTTCTCAAACAGAACATCTCAGGAATGTTCTGGGTCCAATGGCAGAAAAGATGTTTCTTGGGTTAATGGAATCCCTCAAATACCTTTGAGTCCCAGGCAGGTGTCCAGCTCCACTTTCCTGAAGAATGATATTTGTAGCAGAACCATTCCTTTATAGTGCCTGAGTTACCAAGAATACCCTTCTCGCTGTTCCCAGATCACGTTGGCTGGTAACTTCTATGTTGGGAAAAATTTGTGTTTTCATCCAACCTTTAAAAGTGTTTTGTGGAATCTATTTTGGGGGATGGTTCAGCACCTTGGACAGCTGCTGTAAAGGTTATATTGAAACCAGAGCAACTTCATCGTCTTACTCACATGAAAGCCACCATGTGCCTGGATTATTTTAAGTCAGAAATAAAAAAAAGAAAGACTCACAACCAAATTCTTTCTCCTTCTTTGGTGTGTACGGCTATAAAGCTGAACTGGGAAGAAGTAAGGATTTAAAAAATTCTAATACTTACTTTTGTCCATGCAGTAGTTTCTAAACCAGCTTTCAAACAGACGGTCACTACAACATACTGCAAAAACAAAGAAATGTTATTTTTGTCATGTTTACATTATGTCTCATCCTGTTCCCCATGTCGGACCCAAGGTGGCTTATCATATAAGGTAAAGCAAAATACAGCTAAAGCAATATATCATAAAACAGTTAAAACATGAAACAACCAATCAAATTAAGTTAGAACAGTTAATAACACATTCACATAGCAAAACCTACTGTACGCCTAATTAAAACATCTTTTTTTTAAAAAAAAGAAATCCTAGCACACTTCCCCTCTCTCAACCATTGCTTTCCTCTTTCTGTTTTCAGAAAGCCAAGATTTAATCCTCTGTTGTACCACATTTTCAGGTGTGTTTAAAATGGCTCAGTTTCTCTCCTCCCCTCTGCCCTCAGCTTACTTAAATGACTGCAAACTGAGGGCTTGTATAGTGTTATATAAATGAACAGTTTATCACTGGAAACACTCCCTACAACAATCACAGTTTGGCAGGGTTAGACCCAATTAACTATGCGTTTTCACAGCTTATTTCCCCTCCTTCTCCTTACATCAATGACTTTAAACTTATTTCAAAATGCAAATGTAGTTTGCACTCATTTAACTCAGGAGAGGAAAGAGGAAGGAATGGGATATTGACTTTTCTTTTCTGTAAGCTTTGGCAAAAGCAAACTGCTGCAGCCTCTCTCTCCTAGTTTGTTTTTCCCAATTGATAATTTTGCCATCTTGATCACATTGTAATGTTGTTTGATTACATGTGCCCAGCCTTCCACTGTGAAATGACTGAAAGTATGTTTTCTGTTTCTGTCTGTGTCTCTCCTCATCACCATTTTTGTTCTAAGCACATGGAGGTTTACCAAGAATGGCTTGTTGAGAATATCTGGACTTGATGATGCTGTGTTGAAAATGATGGGGTGAATAAAACTACCATGATCAATTGCTTACAACACCTAGTAAGCAATTCCCTGACTCAGAATACCATATTAGTGCATTTCAAGCACATTCTGGACAATGACTAAGGACTGTGAACCGCACATTCTGGAAAATGATGAATGACTAATGACCGTGAACCACCGAGTCCCTTTTGCGGTTGAGAAGGGCAGTTTACAAAACAAACTAAAATAATTAAAAAATAAAAAGAGGCCTAAGCAAATGCATACTGCTACTTCTTCTAGCCATGGTGTTCTTCTTTATTAATAACTTTTCCCACCTTGGACACACTCTGATGTTACTCGACCTCATGTATTTTCATCTATGAAATGCTTTAGGGTACTTGGAAGTTCATCCATGTAAGGATATGAGCTGGGTTTGCATGTCATAATGAACCAGAATCTGGCCAGTTTTGGCTTACTGTGAAGAAGGCAGATATGGCATTCACAGTAACTAAGTAAACCATGGTCTTCCAACAAGTTTGTTTTGTAGATCATAACATTTGAATCTGGCAACCTGGCTTGTCTCTTCCTTGACAAAGCAGAGAAATGACCCATAGTTTTCTCTTGGTTTATTTCTGTGGTTTGTTGGGGGACAGACAAAAAAGAAGGTAGTCATGCTAAAAATGAACAGAATATGGTTTGTTCAAAATAAGTCTGAACTCTTAAGAATTCTCAAAATTTTGGTTTACTGCAGTGGTTCTCAATCTGTGGGCCACCAGGTGTTTTGGCCTACAACTCCCAGAAATCCCAGCCACAACTTATGCAGTCGAGTTTCCTGCTTTAGGATTTCTGGGAGTTGAAGGCCAAAACATCTAGGGACAGTAAAACAGTGGTTTACTGTCACATCCAAACATTCTCAAATGGATGGCACTGCAAAAAAAAAAAAAAAAAAAAAATAGAAGAAGAAGAAGAACCTGAACTTTCTGTCTGACATGAATATGTCAACTTACCGTATAAACTATGTTTCCGACAAACAGATAGTCTACACTCTGGCCATTTGTAAATACTGCATCTGAAAAACAAAATGATAGTTAAATATCATGCTGACCAAAGGAGATTTTCTACTTTTAAAAAGATGCTTATTTAAAGATTTCCCAACAGTACAAATTATTGAATTAAAAACAACCAGGCGGTAGGTCAATACAGTACTTGTCTTCTCAAATGCAGGTCTAATTGATTTCAACAGGGACCAATTCTAGATAAATGGGTATAAGCCTGCACCTTAAAATGGTTCACAGATAAATGTGTCTGGATTACGACCTTGGATTGTGTGATTTTAATAATCGATGTAATTGCTTTAGATGTTTTAAATTTTTTGGTTTCAATGTAAACGTTTATCAGCTGTATGTTATTTTAAGGCATTGAATTGTTGCCGATGTTGTGAGGCCGCTCTGAGCCCCCCTCGGGGTTGAGAAGGGTGGGATACAAATGTGGTAAATAAAGAAACAAATAAATAATAAACAGGAAGTCAAGTTTTCAAATAAGAAGTTTTGAAACATTCAAAATAAAAGTTTAAAAGAATAGATAGAAGATTAAAAAAATCACCCTTCCCCTCTAGCCATCTTGATAAGAGATAATAAAAACAAGTGTTGAGGAGAAGCTGATATAATAACAGCTTACATATTATTGGTTATATGTTTTGAATACTATTATTTTATACCAAAGGAATGAAAAATAACCAAATGACTACAAAATATTCAGAATGAATCTAAATCTGCTTTAATTCCCCACTATGTCTTTGAAGCGTGTCTCCTGGACTTCTCTTTGTGGAGATGATTGATTTTACACACTGGACTTCTCAAAGCTCTTTTAAGAGCAGCACGCTGGAAGCAAAAAGTATAATGATTGTGTTAGCCAATGCTGAACCCATTAAATATTCTATAATAGTATACAGACATACCCACTTTGCCATTAAGAGTTGAACAAAAAGAGGATTTCTGCTGAAGAACTTATAATCAAAGTCATCTCAAGCAGATGAAATAGTCTAGCTGCCACATTTTCTTTGTGCCACTATATTGCATATGCACATTCTTGCTTTGTTTACTTTTATCTGATTTCTCCCTGAAGTCTGGGGATATTTTTATCCAAACATTATTTCAAAAGAGGTGCAATCATCTCTCTAGCCCAGACGGCTATCTTTAAAAAGTTTTTGGTGGGTGTTAATGGCCAAAGTGCCAGGAATCTTATATCCCAACACCCCCTTTCCTCTCTGTAAGTATACAAAAAGGTGAATACGTGTTAATTTAAAGTATGAAAGTGCCAAACTTGGCAGTACTTCCAAGTAGCTCTTTATTTCTGCTGAGCTCCCGCTGAGTTAGAAAATAACTATATCCCAACCATGAAAAAAGGGAACACATGGCTGAAGTATGAATTCCCAAATCAATCCAAAAGGGCTGTAACCCAGAAGAATGACACAACCATCAAGTCCAACATGGCAGCCAAAGACATATACGTCAGCGAAGGTGAGGCAGATTTAAAACAGAAACCTGGAGTCAGCATCTCCAAGTCACTTGTTGCCTGAAGGTGTAAATTATGCTCTTACTTTAATGAAAGGACCCTGGGAGAGAGAGTAACTATCAGAACTTATTTAGATTTTAAATATCATTCAACAGGGATTTCTAAATAGTATTTAAATTATGTAACAAAGATTTTAAATTTTTTGGAAATAGATAGCTAATGTATTTTTTTTTTTTACATATCATGGATCCTTGGTATCAACTGAAGTTTGGTTCAAGGACCCTTTGTGGATACCAATCTTCATGTCCCATGATAATGTTTGTGTGTATTTATAGTTTATGTCTTGGCATTAAATGTTTGCCGTATATATGTTGTGCTTCGCTCTGAGTCCCCTGCAGGGTGAGAAGGGCAGAATATAAATGTTTTACATAAATAAATATATAATGGCACAATAAAATTGTGTCCTTTATATAAAATGTTAAAATTTGCTTTTTGGATTTTTAAAGTAAATATTTTCAAATCATGGATGGTTGAACTCGTGGGTATCGAGGATTGATTTTATGTTGTCTGTAATCTTAATTAAACTGAAAAATAAACCACCCAAGGCCTAGAACTAGAAGAAACTAGTTAAAAATAACTAATTGTTTCCATTTAATTCCTACCCATAATAACTAAGGAAAAATTATGTAAGTTGGAACAGGTACATTTTTCAAAGTTTAACTCCATCCAAATGTATGTATGTATATATATATATGTATATGTATATATGTATGTGTGTGTGTGTGTGTGTGTGTGTGTGTATGCTATGCTTTGCATAGCATAGGGAAGGCTTCATACCACTGTGGTGTTTGTTTTGCTGTTTATGCCCCTGTTCTGCAACTGAAGCCCATAGATATGATAGGCTCACTGTACATCCAAATATAGCAAAGGTATGACCTAGTTCATTCAGTATTTGCCAAAGTAGTAAAACCTATTCAATCATACTACCATAGACTGTGTGGAATGTTGGGTTTCATCCCTGACTGCACAAGTCTCCAGCTCTCAATGAGTAGTTAGCCTAGATAGATTAGAGTGAGGGATTCCTTCCCCAATTTCCTTTAGCAAGCTTATCTTAAGAAGGGACTTTAGAAGTGAGTTGTCTTACTCATTTTTGCATGCCACTATCTCCTCCCCCTCTGAATACTTAGCAATGTGATCTCTTCCTCTTCCTCTCTTCCTCTTTAAAGGTATTTTTATTGCCCTGTCAAAGCCATGTAGTCAGAGTTCACCATATAGGCTCTCTTCTCCTTTTGTTTTTTTCTAGAGTGAGGAGGCATCTTGCCATTGTCCAGGCAAGATGTAGCATAGCTACTTTTATTAATTTCCCCTTTTCTTTTCCTTAGAACATAGCTCAGTGAAGTTAGTTAGCTCCAAGAACCTTTCCTATCTAGAATGGATTTCTTTTGTCTTTAATAAATATATTATTTTTGATCCTATGAAGTTGTGGATCTGCAATCCTGTTCCATCCTGTTGAATGGAAGCCAATCCTTGCTCACTACATGTAGGTTTCTGCTGCTTATGAACTGTGCATCTAGCACTCTGCTATATTTTTGGTGGAATCACCCCCAGAAAGGGTTATTTTGAGCCTAACAGCTCCTGATTCCCAACATGGAAGATTGGCAGCAAATATCCTTATAGGTACGTGGATAAACACCCCTCACATAGCTGTTAGATTAGTGCCTCCAATAACCCCATGTCACAATAAATCTGCTAGTCTTCAGGATGTCACAAGGAAATAATGTAACTATTTGAGCTATTTCAGATGCAATGTAGAGCAGAAGAACATAATTTTAGCACCCTATCTGTGAATTCAGTCAGCTTTTTACACATTCTGTCACAACCTTCTCACTTTTGATTGAGCAATTACTATCAGTGACTAGGCCTGTGCGGTTTCGTTCGTTAATTCGTTAATTCGTTAAACATTTTAATTTTTGCATTTACGGTACGATAACAAAACATATTTCCAAACCCGGAAGGGTTTTTAAATATCGAAACGGCAACTCCCACAGTATTTACGAGCTTTCGCCCGTTTTGTAAATGGGGCGGGCGGGGCCTCCGCGCCTCCGCGCGCCATCCAACCGGCCTCCGCGCGCCATCCAATCGGCTCCGGCTCCTGCGCCCTCCTCCTCCTCCTCCTCCCCCTGGCACTTCCTGCAACACAGCTGGGAGGAGGAGGAGGAGGAGGAGGGCGCAGGAGCCGGAGCCGATTGGATGGCGCGCACGCGCTCACCCTTACAACCGGCCTCCGCGCGCCATCCAATCGGCTCCGGCTCCTGCGCCTCCGCGCGCCATCCGATCGCCATGCAACACAGCTGGGAGGAGGAGGAGGAGGGCGCAGGAGCCGGAGCCGATCGCCGCCCCTTCGCCCCGCCCGCCCACCCTTAAAACCGGCCTCCGCCCTCCAATCGGCTCCGGCTCCTGCGCCCTCCTCCTCCTCCTCCTCCTCCTGGCACTTCCTGCAACACAGCTGGGAGGAGGAGGAGGAGGAGGGCGCAGGAGCCGGAGCCGATTGGATGGCGCGCGGAGGCCGGTTGTCTCTTTAAGGCGCCTCTCCCAGCTGTGTTGCTGCTGCAGGAAGTGCCAGGAGGAGGAGGAGGAGGGCGCAGGAGCCGGAGCCGGAGCGCAGGAGCCGGGGAGGGGATTCCTGCAGCGCCGGCTCTGCCTCCGTGGCCCGCCTGAGATGAGACCAATACCATCTTGAAGGCTGCATCCAGGCTCTTTTGCTGTGAGTTTTCTTTTCAGGGCTGTATGTTGACCATGTTCCAGAAGCATTCTCTCCTGACATTTTGCCCACATCTATGGCAGGCATCCTCAGAGGTCTGTTGGAAACTAGGCAAATGGAGTTTATCTATGGAATGTCCAGGGTGGGAGAAATGAAAGCCATTCAATGCTAATCAAGGTGACCAACTGCAACATTCACACTTACAAAATGTTTTGTAAATATTTACGAAATTTCGTAAATAACAAAACATTTTTTTGGAAAGTTTTGTAAATATTTTAAATATCGAAACAAAAAAACACCCCAATTACAAATCGATTTTAGAAACAAATTTTTTCTTGATCAAACAGGCCTAGTGACCATTGCCACTTGAAACATAACCTGCTCCACAGGGTCCTTATTGATTCTAAACGAGATTGGATGTAAAAAGTAAAAGCTGTCATCTACAATTCTTTCTAGATGAGAGTCTTTCTAATTCAGCTCTTCATTGAGACACTATAATTGCTCTCCAGACCAAAACGTAATTTTTCTAAGTTTTTAAAAAATGTCAAAAGTCTAGATAATTTTAAAGAGATTTTCAATGTCATGCCTCAGTCTTGGTGCTGCACTTTGTAATATCATGGCCTTGCTTTTAGGCTCCTGGAAAGGTTTCTCTCCCATACAGTTGCCAGAGTTAGTCAAGATATGCTACGAACACTTATTTGTGAGAGGCAACACAAGTGCCCATTCATTGCACATATGCACACTGCATCCAAAGAACTGGAGGGGTTAAAGGACATGCCAGTGTGAATAACACATTTCTTTTCATCTGGGATTCTTAAAAGTGTACTCTCAAATACAAAGGAAGATAGACGGTCTATATCCCTCTTCTTCCTTGAATAGCAAAAGCAGCCAAGGTTTTTTTTTTTATCCCTAAGCCAAAAAATGTATTAGTATTTAAAATATAGATGTATCAATTCCAATGTAAATATCTGGGGCTTCTAAGAATGTAATTCCAAAATCAGTAACATTTGATTTAATCATTAATTTGATGGCTATTGTGGAAGTTGGCTGATTTTGGAATTACATATAAATATGTAAAAACAATCTTAAGTGAAATAATTAACAACAGGATGAATTCTATTTATTAATTTATTTTTCTATGCCTATATAACTTTAGAGGAGTTCAACTAATCTGATTTATAATTAATATCTTCATTATGATTTATTTTTCTTCTCTGTGTTGTGACTTCTCTAATTTGATTTATTTGTTTTGATTTAACCTGGTTTGGATGGTAAGTGTGACTGATATTATCTGCATTGTTTCCTCTTGTTGTAAGCCATCCCGAGTCCCCTTGGGGAGATGGGGTGGGATATAAATAAAGCTTTATTTTTATTCATTATTATTTTACATTGCACAATTAGATTACTATTATTATACTTTAAGGACTTTGGCACACCAACCTACTGTGTTGCAATAGTCACCTTTGTGTAGATCAGTGGTTCTCAACCTGTGGGTCCACAGGTGTCTTGGCCTACAACTACCAAAAATCCCTGCCAGTTTACCAGCTGTTAGGATTTCTGGGAGATGAAGACCAAAACATCTGGGGATCCACAGGTTGAGAACCACTGGTGTAGATAATAGATACATATTGACTTGAGAACCTTCAATAATGCAGCTCTTTTCATTAACTCAAATGCTCTGGTTCAGTAATCCATAGTCCTGTAATCAGTCTTCTGCATAGCCTCCATAAGAGGTGGCGCAGTGGGTTAAACCTGTGTGCCAGCAGGACTGAAGACTGACAGGTTGCAGGTTCAAATCCGGGGAGAGTGCGGATGAGCTCTCTTTCCGCTCCAGCTCCCCATGTGGGCACATGAGAGAAGCCTCCCACAAGGATGGTAAAATATCAAAACATCCAGGCATCCCCAGGGCAATGTCCTTGCAGATGGTCAATTCTCTCAAACCAGAAGCAACTTGCAGTTTCTCAAGTCACTCCTGACACACAAAAAAGTAAAATAACACAGAGAAAGCAATGCTGTTTCACAAAAAATGAAATAAGCTGTTTTGATTCACCTGTATTTTTTGGGTAGGGCAAAATTCTTCTGAAGGTAACAGAATTTATACAACTAATATTTTATTTTCCTTGAAAGCTCTGTTCTCAGGTGCTTTATGAATTTTAGGAAATTCAACATAGCTATCAGCATAAAAATGGCTCCTCCTTTGAGACTCAAAAGCAAGTGGCCAGCGGTCTCCCTTCGGACAGCAACAAAAATTCTACAGAAAATGGCAACCTTTTATAGAGCAGACGGATCATTCTTTCGGCAACTCGTTTTATTCTGAAAGCGCCACGTGTGAAGCTGGCTTGTTAAAAATACCAAGTCAAAGCCTTTGAAATATAAAATCCTATACCATTTTAAAACATGCATTACTAGCCAAATGTTTTTCATGTTTAGATATCTTTCTTTTTTTCTTTCAAAAAAGGATTGTTTATCTCCCCAACCCTATATGCTTCACTTGAAAACAGACCAAAAGATCTGAAAAAGAAGGTTCCACACTTGTTTTTGTTGTTGATCTCTCTCTCTGAATGTGGGTAGATCAGAGACTGACAGCACAATCTCAAACATACTGAATGAGAAATAATGCTTGCTTAGTTCAATAGGTCTTATTCCCAAATCCATGTGCTGAAGAATTGGATTCAGATAAATTAGGAAATGAAAACTGCACAGCCCTTTAGATGTTCTTGGACTTCAACTCCGAGCAGCCACAGCTGCCAAAGAAGAACATGGGAAACTTCCACTTATCAGCATCTGAAGGGTTGTACGATACCCACTAAATTGAGTAGGTAGGCTATCACAAACCACTTTTTGCAAATTACGGTGCTTAATTAATATTTGTTTGAAAGCAAACATACAGCCGAAGCTTCATAAGCTTTAGGTTTCACAGGTTTGTATAAATTACTAAATAAATGCAGCTCCATGCAATCCTTTTCTGAAGGATGGAAAATGCTATATATTGAAGAGTGTAGGCAAAAAGGGAGGATTTGGAAGGTCACTGCTGATAAATACTTGAGCTGAGAAAGCTGTTGGCTTGTCCATTGTGATTAATTCCCTGACAACCTGTTATGACCCACAAACACAGTGGAACTGACTTGGAAAGGATGAAGACCCCTTGGCTGACACATGGGAAAGAACGGAGCATTTATTTACCATGTTCCAGTGCTTTCAGTGGAAACCAAAAGAGGATGACGGAGTGGATCAAGGCATTGATGCAGTGGCCCCAGAATACCTAAGAGAAAACCAAATAAGGAAGTCAGAAGGCTGACCAAAATCTTGAGGCCTGTTTAGCGATCATCAAATGATTTGCTGCATTATTTCTATTTTTAATTAAGAGGTATTTAAACCAATTCAACCACAAAAACTTAGAATTAAATTTAAAAACAGAATGTGAAATTCTCTCCCAAACTTAGACATAACAAGAAAATAAGAATATTCCATGACCTCACAATCTCTGAGGATGCCTGTCATAGATATGGGCAAAACGCCAGGAGAGAATGCTTCTGGAATATGGCCATACAGCCTGGAAAACTCACAGCAACCCAGTGATTGCCTTTGACAACCCATATTCCATACAACCCATATTCCATTCCAAAGGTCAGGGATGAAAGTGAATTTGCAAAATTTGCAAAAAAAATCTTCATCTTTTAAAAAAATAATTATAAATTTTATTTGATACATCCCAACAATTAACAAACTTTTGTCATATAGGACTTATTTCAGTATACATCATTCCAAAAGTAAACATTTCTTAAATGACATTTGATACATTCCTTAGTTATGTATCACCCATCACCCCTGCCCCCCCCCCCCCCCCCCCGGAACAGCAATTCTAAATGATGTCATTGCATCAGTTTAATCATGTGGAAAGCCTGGTTCAAAATGCTATATCTGTCATCTCCATCTATCTTGTCAATTAGCAGAGACCATTTCCAAATATCTTCATCTGTGAAATTGATAGAACTAGATATTTAAAATATTCTAATATGGAATTAAAAATTAACAGATTTTCCCATCTGTATTGAGGTCTACCATTGATTACATGTTGTATTTTCTGAAAATGAATTTCTAGAAAAGTATGGCATGACCACTAGGGAAGATGGAAAGAGCACATTCCAATCACATTTTCAACTGATCTGATCAATCTGTGTTTTCCAAACTTGAATGTTAATAAGAACAGTTATCCTTAGGGTAAGGGTAAAGGGTTTCTCCTTGACATTAAGTCTAGTCGTGTTTGACTTTGGGGAGTGGGTAGTGTTCATCTGCATTTCTAAGCCGAAGAGCCGACTTTGTCCACAGACATCTCCAAGGCCATTTGGCCAGTATGACAGCATGGAAGAATGTTACCTCCCCACAGAAGCGGTACCTATTGATTTACTCATATTTGCATGTTTTCCAACCGCAAAGTTGGCAGAAGCTGGGGCTAACAGTGTAAGTTCATCCCATTCTTCAGATTTGAACCGCTGACCTTTCAGTCAGCAAGTTCAGCAGCTCAGCGGTTTAACCCACTGTGCCACCATGGGCTATCCTTAGTTTGTTCATTGTTTTCAGTGGCCACTTTCTGACTGTGGAAACCTCTAGTAAGGAAGGCTAGGTTGATGTTCTTATACTCTTTCCTTATTGTCTTTCACCAGACAGGCATCTGGCAGTAATTCTGGGATGCTGTAAAAAAAAATCATTTTTAGCACAGGCAAGCTTGGTCTAAAACTTCTTTTAATTGCTGTAAAATTTCTTTCCTTTAGTTAATTTGTTTTATGTTCTTAACAGTACTCTTTTTATGTATTTTATGGTCAGATGTCTTGAGTTCCAAGTTTTGTGATAAAAGGAGGAGTAGAAATCTATATTGAATATTGCAAAGATGTTCACAGCTGAAAAAAGAAGGTCACACACAAAAATGCATGTGTTCAGGGAAAAAAAAATAAACGAAACACCACCCCTATATTTTCCTGCACTGGAGAGATGGAGTTTTTTGTGCTTCGCATCCGTCCTTTGAAACCTTAGCCTCCCTGGACAAGTACCACACCAGAACCTTTCTTTCCTTGAACTGTACAACTCAGAGAGCTGATGCTTTATTAGCAAGAATAGGTTAATAAAACAAGAGAGAGGAGGAAATTCTTCCAAATATGAAAAGAAAATATATCAGTGTAACTTTACCTGCATATCTCCCTGAAACATCTTTTTCAACCCACACCCTGACAGGAACAATAAAGCCATCTCAATATTTGCACATAATCTCTTGAGGGCACTGGTAAGGTTGGGGGTGGTTAAAAATGGATGCAAAGTGAAAGTGTGGGAACATTTTCATTCAGAAAGCACAAAATCAGTTGCAGCTTGTCCAGTTCCATTGAAGGTGCCACAAATGGTACGTGCTGTCAAGTTGATTGATTTATATGCAAATATATAGAGTTCTCTTGAGTATAAAACACTCCACTTAGGCAGAAAAAATGAAATGCAAAGATACAGAACGGAGGATGCCTGGCTTGAGAGAAGTACGTATGAAAAAGATCTTGGAGTCCTCATGGACAACAAGTTAAAAACAAAGGAAGCAATGTCACATGGTGACTAAAAAAGCCAATGGGATTTTGGCCTGCATAAATAGGAGTATAGTGTCTAGATCCAGGGAAGTTGTGCTACCCTTCTATTCTGCCTTGGTCAGAATAGAATCACACTGTGTCCAGTTCTGGGCACTACAATTGAAGGGAGTTGTTGACTAGCTGGAATGTGATCAGAGGAGGGTGACTAAAACGATCAAGGGTCTAGAGAACAAGACCTATGAAGAGCGGCTTAAAGAGCTGGGCATGTTTAGCCTGCAGAAGAGAAGGTTAAGAGGAGACATGATGACTATGTATAAATATTTGATATCTCTGCTGCCCTGCAGATTAGGATGTGGAACAATGGTTTCAAGCTACAGGAAAGGAGATTCTACTTGAACGTTAGGAAGAACTTTCTAACTGTGAGAGCTGTTCAGCAGTGGAACTCTCTGCCCCGGAGCGTGGTGGAGGCTCTTTCTTTGGAGACTTTTAAACAGAAGCCGAATGGCCATCTGTCGGGGGTGCTTTGAATGCCCTTTCAATGCTTCTTGGCTGGGGGTTGGACTGGAATCCCCATCAGGTCTCCTCCAATTCTATGATTCTATGATTATATATTTGAGCTCTATCACTAAGATTCTGGTATGGAATCCTACACATGACTCTTTGAACTCATGGCACATGAAGATTTAATTCTGGCCATGTTGACTTCTACCTATGTTAGCAAAAGTCTTAAGAATTTGATGTATGCCAATTTGACACACTGAATACAGTGGGACATCATCTTATGGTACTTGATCCCAATTGGAGAACCTATGCACTTGGAACATAATCTGGATGTCAGAGTTTCAATGAGAACCAACACTTTAAACCCAACATTCATTTATTCAAATTAACACATGGGTTTACCATGATATAGCTTTTGAACAAAACCCTAGTATCTCAATTGCAAAGTAATAAAGTAAAGAACTGAAGAGTGCAGGAAGAGATTTTTTAAAACTCGGAAGTGTATTCCATCTTTACATATGTAGATCTCCATACAATCACAAGTACTCTGTCAGCAATTGTAAATTGAGTGATACAATGAACTTTGAAATGGCTTCACAGTCTTGCTCAGTGCAAAGTTCCCTAAAGGATACTTGACACTCTCCATGAAGGACCACTGCTAGCTTCTAGTAGTTTTGAAATCCAAGAGTTGTTTCATGGCCTAGAACCAGGATACCTGTTTTCTCATCTGTACCTTTCAAGATCTTATGATCTTCCAGAGACAGCCCTGTCATCTGATGTAAGGTGGTTATTGAGGAGAGAAGCATCAACAGTGATGACATCACAGATCATTCCTGCTGTCCTCCTTTTAGCACCATAGACCTTTTTCAAATTCCTCAGTGTTTTTGCAGTGTTTCCCAAATTCTAGTCCTCTGGATATTTTGGGCATTTGCTCCCAGAATCCTAAATCACTGGCCAAAGCACCTGAGATTTCTAGGAGTTGAAGTTCAAAACACCTGGATAATTAGATTTTGGGAATGACTGCAAGCATAATTCTGCCCTTTTCAATGTGGGTTTTATGATCTTGCAACTTGCAAGGCTTTACAATTGTTTGAATTTATGGTCAGTCCCCAAATTATGAACAAGATAGGTTCTGCAGGTTTATTCTTAAGTTGAATTTGTTTGTAAGTTGGAACAGGTACTTTTTTTAAGTTTAACTCCAGCCATATATAAGCTTAGGATAACAGGGGGAAGGGTTAACACCCTTGTGGTGTTTGTTTTTGCTGTCTGTCTCCCTGTTCAGAAGATTTCACCTCACTTTCTGTCCCTGTGATTATTGGATTTTGAAAAATTTGGCTTGTTGTGGAAACAAGAATTGGTGAGAAAGTTTCAGTGGAGACCCTTTCCCCCCATGATAATTCTTCCAGGTGTAAATTTTCTTTCTGAGGGGTAGATTTCTCTCACTTCCTGGTGTCTCTCCCCCATTCTTATCTATGTGTCATTTGTAAGTCGGATATTTGTAACTTGGGGACTGCCTGTATTCTATCTAAACTTTTATTTGTTGTATTCTTTTTAATTGGCTTGCATATAAAACTAAGGCTTAGTTTAGAGTTAGTCAAATGAACTACACTACAACAAGCCTAAGACTAATAAAGGATTATCCTCAGATAGGTTTAGAATTTCTAGGCGTGGAGATTACTGCAGGCGCAGAAGATGTTTACTTCTTGGGAGGAGAGCAATGACCAATATCGATAAAATAGTGAAGAGTAGAGACATCACACTGGCAATGAAGATCCACATAGTTGAAGCAATGGTGTTCCCCATAGCAACCTATGGATGTGAGAGCTGGACCATAATGAAGTCCGAGCGAAGGAAGATAGATGTTTTTGAACTGTGTTGCTGGAGGAAAATTCTGAGAGAGCTTTAGAGCGCAAGAAGATCCAACCAGACCATATTCCAGGAAATAAAGCCCGACTGCTCACTGGAGGGAAGGATATTAGAGGCAAAGACGAAGTACTTTAGTCACATCATGAGAAGACAGGAAAGCTTGGAGAAGATAAATGATGCTGGGGAAAATGGAAGGAAAAAGGAAAAGGGGCAGACCAAAATGGGTGGATGGTATCCTTGAAGTGACTGGCTTGACTTTGAAGGAGCTGGGGATGGCCATGGCTGACAGGGAGCTCTGGCATGGGCTGGTCCATGAGGTCACAAAGGGTCGGAAGTGACCGAACTAATAAACAACAGGTTTACCATGCCAATCAAACCATTTGTTGTTCATTCATTCAGTCGTCTCCGACTCTTCGTGACCTCATGGACCAACCCACGCCAGAGCTCCCTATCAGCTGTCACCACCCCCAGCTCCTTCAAGGTCAGTCTAGTCACTTCAAGGATGCCATCAAACCATAAACAGTGGATAATTTTAAATACTGTTAAGGAAATTAAGCACGATTTGAAGCTGATTTATTTCCATTAATGATAATATAATTATGGTTTGTTAGATCGAATACAGGGCAAGCTACTGCTAATATAAAAGGGAAAAGACAACTTTTCAAACTCCTTCATAAAAAAGCATAGGTTGAAGATGACAGGGCACAATGATATAACACCGTAGCCTGCTTGGGTTCAATGTAATACAAAAGTATATATTGATATTACATAACAAATCAGTCCTTTATAAATATTTTTGAAATAATGAAGAATAGCATAAAATATAATAAAGAAACCGCCACAGCTACAGAGTCAGAAGTGTCTGAATGCATAAACAACAACAAAACACAGCAGCTTTCTAACTGTATCCCACTCCATGCTGCTGCTGAGGACAGAATAGCCAACACTGTTTCACAATAGCTCCTCAGTCTTCTTGAGCCCATTTTACCAATTATAAAATTTACTTAAGTCTGAAAGAAATACAGAAAGCTAGACCAATGTCAAATTATTTATATTCTTGAAAATTAAATGAACAAATCATTTTCAGTTGAATAAAGCTAGCATACTACAACCGTAAATTAAAATTCCATTTTTCTACTGAAAGCTCACCCTTATTGTTTTCTTTCCTCCCTTAAAAGTAAACATAGCCTCTTACCCTGCTATTGAACCCATCAGCATTTTGCGTAATTTTGTAGAGTTGGGGAAACCTAAGCATGTTGTCTTGAGTGCATGATCGTTCAAAGATTCCCAAGGTGAAGGGAGGCAACGCTGTGAAAATCTAGAGAAAACAAAGGAAGTAATTAAAAATAACACACCATTAACTTTACAAACAAGTTGAAGGTTATGCTTCATACCTGGGAAAAAAAACCCTGACATTGCTTAAATCAACAGCAGCCGCTTTTCTTGAAGCCAAAGGGTATCAAGCCCATAATCTAAGCAGTACAGTCTTAAGCACAAAACTTTTCACTGGTGAAGTTGGTCAGCAGTACAACAAAAGACTGAGACTGAACAGTAATAGACCTTATGAGCACAGATGGGGTGGCAATGCTTACTGCTGGCAACTGAGGTGAAAAAGGAAACACGGGCTTAGAAAAGTGGGTAGTGGCAACAAAAAGTTTCCATGTTATCAGAGTGGTAAATCTATTCCAGATTTTTGTCCAGATCTTAAAAGAACAGCCAATTTACTGAACCTTATCCCCACGATAGGTTCAGCACCTTGGATACAGATTTACTGTCCCACTAACTGGGGGACCATATATATCAGTGCTTCTCAACTTTTTTTTTTGACCAGGAACCATTCTCCAACATTAGCACCAAAAGGGTTACAAATCAATTTTTGTTCAACTTTAGATTTGATTTGGTTATTTGGGGTGCTGATTCAGAAAATTGCATTGGATAGACCACATCAGCTCTAGTTTCTGATACAGAACATATGCCAACCAGTAGTCACCATCTGCTCACCCACAGAAAACCATATTTAATAAGCCTCAGCACTATAAGAGGGTTTCACGAGACCAGTCACTCTCATTGCAAAGGTGTAGTAATGGTGAGGCTACGGACCATATTTTTGTTCTTGCGAACCACTGGTGGTCCATGGACCACAGGTTGGGAACCTCTGATGTACACTAACCATTTAATTCAGTTTCAAAGCAGCACTGATGAAAGTGGTTTAGCTGTGTAGATGTTTGCAAAGGAAATCCTGGAACCAGTTTGAGGTCCAGATGGTGATGACACAAACCACAAAGCACTGGTGTGAATTGAAGGCTTTCTTTCCAGCGCTTTTGTGGGTGTTTGTTGTCTGGTTGCTGCAGTCTGAAGCTAGATTTGAAGAGTATTAACTTGTCAGCATAGATGGGGCCTGGATCAACCAGCAGTTACTGGAGGCAGAAACCCATCATGTACCTGAAATCTTAGTAGCCAAAAGAGGCATTTGTGCCCATCTGGAATAATGGGAAGTAAAGCTAATGGAGTTGTTTTTGCTGCAAATAGCTAACGCTTTTGGCATCTATGTACACTGTTTTGATTCAATGAAACCCTTTGTAATTTATTTCAAATTCACTAACTAATACAGGGGTCCTCAAACTAAGGCCCGGGGGCCAGATACAGCCCTCCAAGGTCATTTAACCGGCCCTCGCTCAGGGTCAACTTAAGTCTTGAAAGCACACAACAACAAAAATCCTATCTCATCAGCCAAAAACAGGCCCACACTTCCCATTGAAATACTAATAAATTTATATTGTTAAATTGTTCTTCATTTTAATTATTGTATTGTTTTAAGTGTTTTTGCACTACAAATAAGATATGTAGTGCAAAATAAGATATGTGCAGTGTGCATAGGAATTCATTCCTTTAAAAAAAATTATAATCCTGGCTCTCTGTTTAAAAAGTTTGAGGACTCCTGAACTAATATAATTACACACACCATCCATCTAACAAGACTTCCATGATGGCTAACAGATCATTTCCAACCAAGTATGGGAAATAGACAGCCCTCTAGCTATATCACAACCCACAACAGATATTGCCTGGTTGCAAGTCCTACTCAACACAGCCAGGGGTGGAGCCAGCAACATCTGAATGGATCTATATTTCTGATCCCTGCATTAAGTGGACACAAGCAATTGCTTAAGCAGCCTTTAAACAACATTTAATAGGAAAACCAACCTCTTCTTGCCCCACTGAAGAGAGGTGAAGGAGAGAAGGAGTCCGGCAAACAAAGCTTCCTTCTCCAGCCCATTCCCAGCACAGGGACGCATTTAGAGAAAGCTCCTGGGGTGTTTTTTTGTTTTGATGTAGGCTTACTATAATTTTACCACTTTATTTTGGCTTTACTTGTAAGCTGTACTGGAAGCATTTGTAACTGTAAAAGCAGGCTATCAAAGCTTATAAATAAAATAATAAATTCCCTCGTTCATTCTGGTGGAACCTCCCTGCTACGCTGAAGGATTCATCGTGCATCTGCTATCAGCAGATGCAGTGTGTCTCATAACTGGGCAGCAATTGTACACACTGTCACTTGGAAGTAATTTCCACCAATTATCAATGGGACTTAACTTCCAAAGGAATGTGTGCAGGATTGAAGAGTAAAATCGATTGAATTTGGAATTTATTCTGAATTTGTATATCACACAGTTGTTTAACAAGGAAGCTCTGGAGCGAAGACTTGATGGAAAATATTTTGGGAAACAGGCTGATGTACTGAGGGAAAGATCTTCAGAGTATTCAGTAGTTAAAGGATAATACTATAAAAGTACAGATTGTTGACTACTGATAACTATTAACCAGACACATAAGAAGGATGCAATAAGTAGGAGCAATCCAAAGCTATGTACTGCTACTAGACATCTTCAGTTGAATAAAATGGAGAGTTAATGCAAATCTGTATGTGAAATGCATAAGCACTCATAATTCTGGAATGGGAATAGATAGCAGGCACCTCTCCTAAAGTTGGTGCTTTGGGGTGCTTTGAATGTAATTTTCCTGCTTCTTGGCAGGGGGTTGGACTGGACAGCCCATGAGGTCTCTTCCAACTGTATGATTCTATTATTCTATGATATTATATCAGAGCTTGGGAAAATTATTTTGGTCCATAACTCCATAAGCACCTTCTTCCTCATTCTTGAAATTGTTGCCAAGATAACAACTACTTCAATGTCTCAGTATCAGAGACAAGACTGAAACAAAAGTAATATGATCTAGAATGATACCAAGGAACGGAATATCAGTTATTTTGCAGCAGAATGAGTAACTCTCATAAACAGCAGTCAGTACAATAGATGGTGAGATATTATGGAAGTTGCAGTTCAAATACATAAATCTGCTCAACCATGTCCTAGAGAAACTCATTGGTTTGGTATAATCCTCATTGTGATAGATTCTTCACACAGCATTTCCACTATCATCATACATTCTTAGGTTCTTGATTCAATGTTGCTTCAGTTTTGATACACCACACATGTGTGTCCATCATGTATACATATTATAAAGTCCTTTGGAAGGAAAGCATATTGCAGTATTTGAAAGGAAGACATATATATGTATCAACACAGGAAATACATGTCCTGAGAAACCTATGGTGCTCCAGATGCTATTAAAACTGTGTCTTTCATCAGCTGCTGTATCCATGTTGAAGATCTGTTCATATTGTAAGTTATCAGGTTGACTTCTATCTATGATGACAACCCATCAAGAACCCAAGTCATTAGCTGTCCCACTCAGGTTTTCCAGATACAGGGTGGTGGCTTGTTTCAATTCAGTTGTGGTCTCATCTTTCTCTTTTCCTACTTCTTTCTATGTTGCCAAGCATTATAACCTTTTCACATGAGTTACATTTCTTACAATCTGCCCGAAGCACGATTGCCTTATTTTAGCCATCTTGGCTTCTACTGGGAGTTCAGTCCTGATTTGCTCTAGTACCCATTCATTTGTCTTTTTAGCTGACCAAGGTATCTGTAGAACTCTTCTCCGGTGCCCCATTTCAAATGAACTGAATCAGTCAGCTGTTGCTAATCTTATTAACCTTGCAAATTTTGTACACTTACAGAGCAATAAGGGTCTTTGGACCTTAATAAAATGTTGTTAAATGAACTGATCTTCTTCCTGTCACTTTTCTTCATTATTCAGCTTTTGCATTATTATTCAGCTTTTATGCTCTGATTGTTTTGTATTATTATTATTATTATTATTATTATTTTGTTTTGTATTATTTAATAATAGTTATTATTAAAACATTTATGCCCTCTCATTTATGTAGTGATCTCAAAACTGGGCTTAGATAATAAAACAACATTAAATAATGACAAAACAATGTGAGTTGCAGCCCATTAATACTTGTACACTCATGTGTCTACTATCCCTGGGCTAAGGAAGGTATTCTGTGCACAGACGCAGTTAATTTTTGTATGTGTCAGGAGTGAATTGAGAAACTGTAAGAAGCTTCTGGTATGAGAGTTGGTCATCTAGAAGGATGTTGCTCAGGAGATGTCTGGATGTTTGATATTTTACCATCTTTGTGGGAGGCTTCCCTCGTGTCCCTTAATGGAGAGCTGGAGCTGACATAGGAAGCTCAACCCGCTCTCCTCAGATTCGAGCCACTGACCTATGGGTCAGCAATCCTGCTAGCACCCATTGCGCCACCGAGGGCTCTGGGGCAGTTATTGAGGGGCAGTGAGCTTACTCCAGATTTCTATCTGAACTTTAAATGAATGATCTGAAATGCTAAACCTATTTCTCCTTAAAGTTCACATTAAGAACCAGAGTGCATTACCCACTTCACATCAGCATTCACAGCCCCTGTGCTTACAGCTCTACGTCCATTCTTCAAAAAACTTAGGCATGCAGTAGACTTAAGAATAACGTATCTGCTTTGGCAAGCATCCTCACTGGTTAAACATATGAGCTCATGAAGATCAGCAGTGAATACCTCTTACATGAATTACTGTTATCAATGAACATCTGTGTGGCACCCAAAAGAAGATTCTTGCTGGAGCTGTTAAATGACTTTGAAAACAAGAGGATCTATCACGTTCTCTATCCAATGGATTTCCACAGCAAGGCAAAGAATATCCTTTTTAGAAAGACTTTTGGCTTTAGGCATATAGTAGTGACAGCTCTCCCCACCTTCCCATTTCTTCAATGACATTTTGATCACTGAAAATATGATGTGAATTTGCTTTAGCATTTTAGAATGCTATTCTGATTGGTTTTCTGGTGTTTTCATTATTATATTATCATTATAGGTTTTGATGTTGATTTGCTGTGTTTTACGATTGCTCTAAGGCACGATGCATGTAATTTCAATTAATGAATTAAACACATAATGCCTCTACACTAAGAGTAGAATGTATTGGAATAATATTCAAGAGCTACCACAACTACTCATAAGGAAAAGGCAGATCCCTTGTTTCTGATTTCAATAATGTATCTATTGTTTTTTTCACAAGTCAATTCAATTCAATTCAATTTGTCAATGCCTTAAAAAACCCCAAATAAAATCTCATATTTACACATATCTTTTGTACATCATTTCCTCTAATACAGTGGTTCCCAACCTGTGCTCTGTGGACAACCAGTGGTCTGCAAGAACAAAAATATGGTCCACGGTCTCAATATTATTACACCATTGCCTCAAAACCACACGGCAACAAGAGCGACTGGTCTCGCAAAACCCTCTTATACTGCCGAGGCAACAGAGATGTCGGGAGGGGAGAAGCTGACTACTCACAAAAGTTTACTACTACCACATCAGCTCTACATTATTAAAAATGGTTTTCTGTGGGTGAGCAGATGACAACGACTGGATGGCATATGTTCGGTATCAGAAACTAGACCTGATGTAGTGTATTCAATGCATTTTTCTAAATCARCAAACTAAATAACCAAACCAAATCTAAAGTTGACCAAAAACTGATTCATARCCCTTCCAACAGATCTCACAACCTCTGAAGATGCCTGCCATAGATGTGGGCAAAACATCAGGAGAGAATGCTTCTGGAACATGACCATATAGCCAGGTAAACTCATAGCAACCTATATCAATTTTCTCTTATACATGCATTTTTCATTTYCCTCCTCTTTTTATTTAAYAAAAYAGTTTGTAATCTCTAATATCTGCATTTTGGATGCTTTTTTTTTCACTGGAGAATAGCATCACAATACTCAGAGAACTGAAAAAAACCAAAGKATAATTTTGTGTTGCATGAAGGTTTGTGAARCCCAGGTGGGTCAATTAATAATCAGATGCAAACCAAGCAAATCTCGTCCTGCCTTTATGCTTTTTCCAAACACAACATGCTTTCCACCCTGAAAGGTGTGCATCTTCAACTTTTTAAAAACCTAAGCCTATTATCTCTGCATTGTATTTACATTCAACCAGCTGTCTGTAATTATAGACCATTTCTATTTATTTTCTTTAAAAAAAGAGGGGGAAAGCCTTTCATTTTTAAAGTTTGGAGAGTGATTCCTTCCAGAAATGTATAAGAAGCCTGGAGAATGCAGGTGAAGATCAGCTTCAACAAAGGGCCAGCTATTTCTGGAGATCAGTAACAGAAAGTACATTTCCTAGCTCCATGATGTCATCCATCTCCTTTGAATTAGTCACAAAGCAATACACCAGATGGCTGCATGGAGAGCATTCTGTATTCTTGTGCAGTAGATGAGAGCCAAGACTAATGGGCAGCTCATATGACTGACTTTCCCGGCTACGTCCGCATGCACAAGGGGCAAGTCACTATTTCCTTGTCTGGAGATTGCCCCCAATTACAGCTGCTGGTTGAGCAATCATCGGGACAGAAGGGATACTGTTATTCCCACAAGCAGCTTTGTCTAACAAGACCCTCGGGACACCCTAATCTGTCTCGTGTATGTGCCACATTGGAATAAGTAGGGTGTGACGATGCTCCCTTAATATTTTGGAAGACTTTCACATGCTTTATGAATAATGTAAAGTAGTGAACTCACATACACAAAGAGGATCCATGACACCTTGAAGAAAATTATCATGGGAGAAAGTTTTGTGAATTTATTGAATACATCTCATTCATAAGAGGTTTGTGCCACAATAAATATATTAGTTTTTAAGGTGTGGCTGGGCACTTTTGTTGTCTGTATGCTTGATGGAACAGGCTAACACAGCTAACCTTCTAGAAGTAAGTATAATGTAAATGGCATAACATTTGAATATTATAAGCAGAGAATGATTGCAACCAAAACAAATTTCTCAGGTTCTATCTTATTTGTCTTATAGTTCTGAGACCCAAAACACTGCAATATGTGTATGTATTTTCAATCAGTAAACTAGGTAAACACTAAGATCCAGATGATGAGAGAAGCAATCTTTTGTTTTTTGAGTTCCACCATATAAATGTAAACAATTTCCCAAGATAGTTATGAAATAAAACCCAACAATGACAAAGCTTTAAGATTTTCAAATTGCTCCCACAGTGTTTTGTAAAGTTACTTTTTTGGGGTCCCAACTTCTATAATGCTTCTGTGGGCATGCTAGCTGGCACAGTGTTTATCTAGATATCTGATATGGAGCATTGCTGATGCCCTCCCACCCTCCAATGTTTCGAGGACTGGCACTACATTTGTGCCCATTGGTGGCAACTGTTTCTTTCTTTACTGGAAACTCACCAGACGCTGCCAGTCATTGGCTCAGGGAGCACCACTTTAAGCAGCACCTTGGGTATCTGTGGGTAGGGGTGGGCTGGTTGCAGAGTAATAGATCTGCTTTCTTTTATATGTACTGTATGTGTTTTCAAGTTGCCTATTGACTTATGGTGACTATGAATTTCATACAGTTTTCTTAGATGAGAGAAATCATAAGGCTTTCTTAGGAAAGGTAGTTTGCCATTGCTGTCCTCTGCAATATAGCTATTCTTTGACATCACCCATCCAAGGAATAACCAAGATTGAGCCTGCTTAGCTTTTAAGATTAGACAAGATTTGGTGGCTTCAGAGTCTTCTAGGAGGCCCACGATATTTTTCCTACTTGCAAAGTTGTACATAAATCCAGTATTACAGAAATAATAATAATAATTATGATGATGATGATAATAATAATAATTTTATTTCTTACCTGGCTCTCCTCGTGATTTGAGGCAGGTTCTACAGCAGTGGTTCTCAACCTGTAGTCTAGGGGTTCTCAATCTGTCGGATGTTTTGGCCTTCAACTCCCAGAAATCCTAACAGATGGTAAATTGGCTGGGATTTCTGGGAGTTGTAGATCAAAACACCTGGGGATCCACAGGTTGAGAACCACTGGACTACAGTTAATTTCCTCTCTCACTTCAATGAGATGCTCAGTACTGTATTTCTATTTATTCTAATAATGTCTAGCAATTAACATGCAAATTCTATGCAAACCTGAATCCTCCTTATGGCTGATATGTTTCCTCTTTCTGGTGAGACATGAGTGACCACCCACTTCTCGACTGTTTCCAGCTGCAGAGCCTGGAAACATTCTTTCTGGATTATAACCCCCTCAATCCCCAGCAAGCCTGACCACAGCTGGGGATTTTGACAGCTGTCATCCAAGAACAACACTTTCAAGCTTGACCAAAATTTTGTCTAGCTGCTGGGTTGCATTTGGCTTAGTGGTCCATGGAATATACAAACTTGTGGTAGGTTAATGTTTTTGAGGTACCACTCCTGGTTAGGAGAAACAGGGGACTTCCTTGTTCAATATTAAGACAAAAGAACAATAGCCCTCAAATGCACATCACAATGCATATGCAGAGGATCGGCCCAAATAAAATGCACAGATCTAAACACCAAAGGAATGCCATCTGGGTTCTGCATGTTATCAAGCTGAGACAAGGGACACTTACCACATTGTAGAGGCCAATGCACCAGCGCTCAAATAAAATCTGCCCTGAAAATCCATTAACGAAGGCAAACCAAAGCTGAAATAGAAGAAAGTTATACAAGGCTTTAGATCAATGTGTCACAAAAGTTTTTATGCATTCAAGAAGAGAAGAGTGTGGAATATGGACAACATCATCTGGAGGCAGCTGCTGGATAGCTTCTAAAAATATTGTCTTCACAGTTGTTCTCTTTTTAAATAGAGCAACGCTGCTGAAGCGATGGAATAATCTGTAGAATCTGCATCATTACACTAAAATAGCAAACCTCTTGTAAACCTCCACGCAGATCCTTCCATGTTAACAAATTTTTAACGTGTATTCCTTACACTATAAGCCAATCTGGTTTAGCTATGTACCATGCAATGTAAAAAAAAAAAACACCACGATGCTTCATGAAAACACACCCTAGGATATTTCTACACATTTTACTAGTAGGAGCTTTAGAAAGTATTGGAAGTAGAGCCACTGAAATGAAGAGGACTTAAATTAGTTACCAACAGTAGATTCTATGAATGGCAGTTCATCTATTATAACTATAACTGAATTTGGCTCTAATTTCCAGAACAGAAGTTAGGAATCTTTGAACCACCCAAGGCTTTTTACTACATCTCCCATGATTCCTTACCAATAACTATTCTGGCTGGTGCTTCTGAGAGTTGTAGTCAGACAATCTAACAGTTAAATGATTCCTGACCCCTACCATACTTCCTGTTGCTCTTGATCAGTGGTTCCCAGCCTTTTTTTGACAAGGGACTCCTCTGACCAGGGGCCACTCTTCAACTTTAGTACCAAAAGGGTTACGAATCAGTTTTTGGTAAATGTTAGATTTGGTTGGTTATTTGTGGTGCTGATTCAGAAAATTGCATTGGATAAACCACATCATCTCTAGTTTCTGATACAGAACATATGCCGCCCAGTAGTTGGCAAGAATTATAGAGTTGGAAGAGACCTCATGGGCCATCCAGTCCAACCCCCTGCCAAGAAACAGGAAAATTGAATCATCTTCTTCATGTTCAAGTGGAATCTCCTTTCCTGTAGCTTGAAGCCATTGTTCCACGTCCTAGTCTCCAGGGCAGCAGAAAAAAAGCCTGCTCCCTCCACCCTATGACTTCCTCTCACATATTTATACATGGCTATCATGTCTCCTCTCAGCCTTCTCTTCTTCAGGCTAAACATGCCCAGCTCTTTAAGCTGCTCCTCATAGGACTTTTTCTCCAGACCCTTGATCATTTTAGTCACCCTCCTCTGGATACATTCCAGCTTGTCAATATCTCCCTTCAATTGTGGTGCACAGAACTGGACACCGTATTCCAGGTGTGGTCTAACCAAGGCAGAATAGAGGGGTAGCATGACTTCCCTGGACCTAGACACTATACTCCTATTGATGCAGGCCAAAATCCCATTGGCTATTTTTGCCGCCGCATCACATTGTTGGCTTATGTTTAACTTGTTGTCCACAAGGACTCCAAGATCTCACCTATATTTAATAAACCATATTTAACAAGCCTTGGCACTATAAGAGGGTTTTGCAAGACCAGCTGCTCTTATTGAAACTGTGTAGTAATGTTGAGGCCGCGGATCATATTTTAGTTCTTGTGGACCACTGGTGGTCCATGGACCACAGGTTGGGAACCACTTCTCTTGATGCTGATCTTAACCTGTTTTTCTGTTATAGATTCAACTCCATATCATTCCCTGCACAGTATTATGAGATTGCTTTACAATTCTTTTGTCTGCTTTAGGAGACATATTTCCTATATAATATTGGCCTATTCAGGACTTTTAAAGGAACTGCTAAAAGATTTATGTTACATCATTGGCTCACTCTACAAAAAAGTGGCTGGGAGATGTTTCTGGCTCTTCCAAATATCACAATTCCTTAGAATAAAAAAAAATAACAATCATGCACTGGCTTTGCTATACAAATGTATCTTGTAACATTTTAGGGAGCATCTTGAACTCATTTTTATCATTTGCAGGTGCTGCTGGGAATTTTATAGGCAAAATCAAAATCTTCTTGAAGCTGCATCCAACCTTGGAAAAAGTATCTTTTATTGCAATAATCCTCTTCTGGGTAATGAAACCCACTTGCTTCAAGGGAATTGCTAGTTAGCTGAGCCCAAACCAACAAAAAACATGAGGATTTGATTTGTTTTTCCTTTAATGAAACAACTGGTGTTTCAAAATGGAAATATTACTCACATTACTAAAAAACATCCAGGTGGAAATGAAAAACAAACATGTTTTGTGTATTAAGTAGTTACAAAATGATACTTCTGTTAAGCCCCCCCACCCCCCCCCCCCCCCCCCCCCCCCAACAAAAGAAGTTGTTTTGGCAACTTTGGGTGTATTCATTTTTGCAAACAGTATGTATAGCTGTTTTGAGAAAAAAAATAACCCCAACTAGTACCAGACAGCTTAAAAAATTTGTGTCTGAGCTATTTAAGATCTTTTAAAAAATGCAATGTATGAAGAATGGGGCAGGGGGGGAATGAAAATATGGTTCCTGGTGAAAAAAGGCACCATCCCAAAAAACAGAACTTGAGCAAATTACCTTTTTGGACTACATCTCCCTGACCACCATTACCACTCTACTGATACACACACACACCCCAGCGTTTTTCAAACTGGGGGTCAGGACCACTGGGGGATTGCAAGGTGGTGTCAGAGGGATCACTGAAGTCCATCAGAAAACACAGTATTTTCTGTTGGTCATAGGGCTCCTGTGTGGGAAGTTTGGCCCAATTCTATCGCTGGTAGGGTTCAGTATGCTCTTGAATTGTAGGTGAACTATACATCCCAACAACTCCCAAATGCCAAGGTCTATTTCCCCCCAAACTCCACCAGTGTTCACATTGGGGCATATTGAGTATTCATGCCATGTTTGGTCCAGATCCATCATTGTTTGAGTCCACAGTGCTCTCTGGATGGAGGTGAACTACAACTCCAAAACTCAAGGTCGATGCCCACCAAACCCTTCCAGTATTTTCTGTTGGTCATGGGAGTTCTGTGTGCCATCAGTTCCATCACTGGTGGAATTCAGAATGGTCTTTTGTTGTAGGTGAACTATAAATCCCAGCAACTACAACTCCAAAATGACAAACCAATTCCTCTCAACACCACTAGTAATCAAATTTGGGGTGTATTGGGTATTTGTGCCAAATTTATTCCATTGAATGAAAATACATCCTGCATATTTACATTACAATTTATAACAGTAGCAAAATTACAGTTATGAAGTAGCAATGAAAATAATTTTATGGTTGGGGGTCACCACAATATGAGGAAATGTATTAAGGGGTTGCAGCATTAGGAAGGTTGAGAACCACTGACACACAGACACACACACAGTTTTGAAACTGGCATAAACTTTATCCAGACCTGTAGAATTTGCAAAGTGCTGGCTACAGAATTTTAGAATGTTATGTTTTAAACAAGTCATAGAATTCCCCAACAAACATGGCTATTTGGACATGTAGTGTAGTCTCCTATTTTTTCCTACATTCTGGTAGGGATGTAACACCTTGATTACTTCATCTCTGCACATGAGAAGAAATACTTGTGATAATTTTCTCCTCACTGTGGAAGAAAACAAACATTCCTCTATAGCATTCACCTTGAATTATTGTGGAATAATTATTCTACAGAGGAAAAACATCAGAGTTTTTGTGGGCAAAATATGCAAAAAAAAATTATACCCAGCACCCTGTTCAACAGTTGTGATTATGTAAATTGGAGTTATTATATGATAGACTTGGGATAATCCAACTATTATGTTATTTTATTTCCTATATTTTTACCCCGCCCTTCTTACCCCCAAGGGGGAATTCAGGGCGGCCTCACAAAAGCGTCATAGGATGCTTGCACCATAAAAACAATCAACAATCAACAATACATTAAAATATTTAAAACAGTAATTAAACAATTGATTAAAAACACGCCTGTTAAAATCAGAATCCAAAATTTAGAGTCCAAAGTCCAGTCAGTATCAATTCATTGTCTTAAAACTTATTTTACTTGCTGTTATTACTAGTCGAACTCTTGGTCCCATAGCCAGGTCTTAAGTTTCCTTCTGAAAGACAGGAGGGAGGTGGCCAATTTGATGTTCCTGTGGAGGGAATTCCACAGACAGGGGGCCACTGCAGAGAAGGCCCTGTTCCTCATCCCCACCAATCACATTTGCAGTGGCGGTGGGATCGAGAGCAGTGCCTCTCCAGATGATCTTAAATTTTGTGATGGTTCATAATAGGAGATATGTTCGGACAGGTAGTCTGGGCCAGAACCATTTAAGGCTTTAAAGGTTAAAACCAGCACTTTGAATTGTGCTTGGAAGCTGATTGGCAGCCAGTGGAGCTGGCGTAACAGAGGAGTTGTGTTCTCCCTGTACACTGCTCCGGTAAGCAACCAGGTTGCTGACCGTTGGACTAATTGAAGCTCCCGGGGATTCATGTTTATGGTCGTGATCAACTGAATGTAACCCCACAAAACTTGAATTCTCGGTTAGACAGAATTCAAACTGATGAGTTTCTGAGGCACTAGAGACTGTAGAGCAGAACTTCCGCAGTTGTAGTGCATTATAAGACCAACAGCTGTGGCAGGATCACAAAGGTCTCTCCAGATCCCTGTTTGCAAGACACTTTGTGATCAGGAAAACTCTGCAAACATAATTTCCTAGCCCTCTGGTCTCTAGTACCATGTAAACATTTTGGCTGTGGTATTGCCAAGCTGTGAAAGTAGGTTCACAGTTTCATCACCAGTCATAAAGATAATGAAAGAGCTTCATCATCATAACTACCGTGACAATGCTGGATCTTGTCCCACATGTTTTTTTGCTACATAATATTTTCTTTCAAGTTGGTCTATTATTCTTCCCAACAACCTCTGACTGTTTTCCCAAACCCATTTTCCTGTGAAAATGAGAGAGAATATTTCTCTAGAAATGTCTCTGTCTTCAAAGACCCCATCATCCCCTTCTTATCTTTTAAGCACCAGGATTGTGACGCAGCTGCCTGGGAGTCTGCTGCATTAGATCATTACTG